GGATGCAACCCTGGCCCTGGGTTTTGGAGACGCTGCCTTTGATACTGGCTGGCCCTTTTAGAACCTGGCTATCGAGGGGGAGTTAATCCTCTGCACCAGGCAGGGTTCCTGCCAGCAGGCCTTACACAAGAGGTCCACATGGAGATGACCGACCGGCAGCTATTTGCTGCTCTACTGGTCACCATCTCCTCCATACACCTTCTTGATCTCCTAAAGGGCCTGGCTTCCAGGTAACCTCTGCCTTCCTTGCTCCTTTCTGACATACATCTCTGTTCTGGGGGACTTGGATTTAAATGTCCCTGTTGTTCACTACTTTTATGCCTATGCTCCGTGGTCATCTCTCTTCTGGCCTCCTCAGCCACATTCACAAGACTCAACAGAAGGCAGGGATGGACTTAGAGCCGAGACTGCCAGCCCTACTTCTCTTGTGCACAAAGCTCAGTGAGATCACTCTCCCAGTACCTGTACTGTTCAGCTGAAAATCTTAGTGTTAGGCTAGTGTCATGAAGAGGCCTGGATTCCAGTCCTGGCTGGCTGGAATAGCTCCCCCTGAGCCTGTCCTTTTCTGTGGACAGACCATGGTGCCACCTCCTGTTTGCCCTGCCTAGGCAAAGAGGAAAGAAGGCAAAGGCTGGGGTGATGTTTTAAATAGATGCTGACCCTGAAGTGCCAGAATTCTATTTTGGCTAAGTGACTGTTGGATGATGAAAACCAGAGTTGCCCTCTAACCTGCTAGTGTCTGCAGGGCCCAGAAATAGGAAATGGTGTCTGGGGGACATGTCCAGCCATGCTGGCAGAGAATTATAGCAGATCCTCAGCTGGTAGAGCCCAGGTCTCTCCCATTATCTTAGGCTTTATTTGGGAGAACAGCATGCTAGCTTGAGTTCTGCCTCTAACAGCTGCTCCCAAGCATGCTTTTTGTTCAAGCAGGTTCTGTTCTGCCACAAGGTGAGTGGGTGACTTATCACAGAGATTGCCAAATGGAAGGTCCCTTTGTTCAGCAGAGCAGCCATGGGAGGGGCTTTTTGAGGTGAGCCATGCAGGGAGCCAATGCCCGTGAGACTTGCAGGGAAAGGGTTCAACATAGCCAGAGGGGCCCAGAGCCCCTAGGAAGAGATAAGGAGCTTTCTGAAGCCATTGTGAGTACAGAGTGGAAGGCCTTCCTGGTCCCCAGTTAGCTTTGAGGGGTGCAGCAAGGAAAGGTCAGGTTTGAGAACAGCATAGACAATCTGAACCAGACAGGTCCCACAGGAGTAGAGTGGGGATAGAGGCTAGAAAGGAAGCCCTAAGTTGGCAAGGGGCTCAGCCTTATGTGACCCCAGGGATCACAGCTATTCTTTCTTCAGGTCCCTGGCCATCTGCTCACAGGAAGGTAGAATAGCTAATGGGAACATGGAGCCAGAGGACACTTCTGAGGAGTAAGGTGACAGTATGTCCAGTACCATGTTGTCAACTTCTTCGGACACTGATTTGAGCCCCTTCCCCAGAAACAGTCCCTTGAAGGTCAGCTCCACACAGCATTGTTTACTCATTGCACCAACCTCTTCAAGACAGGACTCTTCTATGTGGTCCCTCTAGGCTTAATCCAAGAGTGGAGGTGAGAAGTGGCTGCTTTATTGGTCTTGGTTCTCCCAAAGAGCCAGCCACAGGCTCCAATGGGCCCAGCCTCTCCCATGTCTACTTCTGCTTTGTATAAGCTCCAGAGCAGCATGCCCAGCCACTGTCTGGACATTCTATGGTCAGTGGCACTTGCCTTCATGAACAGGGAACCAGGGCCTATGAGGAAAGTATAGTAGCTGGACTTGGTACCACACAGACCAGTGGCTTTCTAGAGTCTGAGCATCTTCCCTTCTGAGGCAAGCCCCTGGGTGTTCAGGCCAAGCTGAGGTTGTGAGGAATAGGTCTAATACATGCAGGGTGGACTTTATACCATGTGCAGGAAGTGGATGAATATTGTGAGCAAAGAGGACCAGGGAGCAAGAAAGAGGTCAGCAGCACCCTGAGTTTTCTTTTGTTACTTTAGCTGCCATGCCTGCTCATCATTGTGAAGGGGCCAATTTGCAGGTGTGGGCCATGGCATCAGGGCGTGTCTTCTCCAGGGAATCAAGCAGCCTGGAGGCAGCCAGCTGTTCCCCCAGGGTTCCTTTGGGTCTCGGAAGCCCCTTCCTAGAATGTCTGGGAATGCTGAGTACTGCTCTGGAATGCCAGGGACAGTGAGTGTCCAGCATCAGTTTAGGGTGGGCTTTCTGAGGACAGGTTGCATTTTCTATGTTGTATTGTTTGTGGTTTTGAGACAGGATCACACTATGTAGCCCTGGCTGGCCTCAAGCTCAGAGAGATCTGCCTGTCTCTGTCTCCCAAATGCTGGGATTAAGTGCTGTGGTGCCACACCTGGCTAGCTTCCATATTCTGATCTGCTGACCTGGGAGCTTTGCTGGCTCTTTTAAGGCAGGCCATGCCCCAGAGCTGGCACGTGACACCATGTGCAGTGCCTATCACTACCCCTTCCCCACAGTCTGGGCCACTATCCACCTGTTCCAGTCACTCCAGGACAGGAATGAGGCACAGCCGTGAGTCCAGCACCCACAGCAGCTCTCCATCCTGGATGATCCCGTGTCTTTCACTTGCCTAGCCTGTTCCTTCCTAGGATGCCCTCAGACTTGTTTCCCCCTCACCGCCTCTGCCAGTGCCACCCCTGTGCTCCCTGGTGTGGCCCTGAGTGATGTGTGGTGTCCCCTCTATTGTCTGTGAACAAGAAACACCTTTCCTATGGCAGGTATCTGAGCTGGAGGTATGACTCAGCAATAGAACACTTGCCTAGCCTATTCAAGCCCTGGGATTGGCCTCCAGCATCCCCCAACTAAACCAGTGGCAGGGTCCTGTGATCTATTTTGGCCTTAAGTGGATACTAACAAAACATTTTAAAACAATCAAACCAGAATGTGGTCTCTGCATGGTTTTCACTGTGGTAGCGGCTGCTGCAGTGGAGGACATGGGAACATTCTGCCCTGCCCACCTCAGGGTTGTCCCATGGGTAGTTAAGGGGCTTTTAGAAGGCACAAGCCAGGCAGAGGTGGCTGTTCTGATCTTGGCTGAGCCCCTCTCTTTTGATATACAGCCTATGCCCCTGAATGTTCATTAATTGCTGGCCTAGCTTCCTCAGCCACCTGTCTTCAAGGAGTCTCTTGTTCAGACCCACAGGATCACCTTCCCTGGCCTGCAGGGCATGTATCTATATAGGGCCAGCTTTGTCTCACTGAACCCTGGGCCTGAGGTTGAAGCCCTTTTGTGGACCTTCTGATGAACATGGTAAGTGCATCTGACCACAGCCAGGACCTACCAACCAAGAACCTTTCCTGGTCTGTGGTCCCTGGTAATATACTTCACCTGGCTTGGGGCCATGCTGTATGTGATGGTCTGAAGAATGGCTCCTGTACCCTCATATATTTGAATGTCTGGCTCCCAGCTGGTGGATTGTTGAGGAAGGATTTGGACATGTGGCTTTGTTAGAGAAGGTGTGTCACTGGGGTGGGCTTTGAGGTTTCAAAAGACAGACCCACTCTCTCTCTCTCTGCTTCCTGCCTGCAGATCAGGATGTAGCTCTTAGTACTGCTCCGGTGCCATTGCTGCTGTGCTCCCCGCCCTGTGCTCCCCCCCATGTTATGGACTAACCCTCTGAAACTATAACCAACCCCCTGATTAAATGCGTTCTTCTCTAAGTTACCTTTGTCATGGTGTCTCTTCACAGCAATAGAACAGTAACTAAGATACTACATCCCTCCCTGAGAGCTCTCTTAATACTTTGTCCTCCCACAGCCCCACCATCCAGCACCCTGTGGACCCCTCCTCACACTTCTGGGTGGAGGCCTGATGCTCTTGCATCTTGGGCTGCCTGGCCCTGCCCACTGTTTCCCGGTGGCTTCAAGAGATGCCCAGGTGTGGATGGATGAGTGTTGCAGGCTGGGCAGGCAGCACTATTACAGGGAGGCAGGGCCTCAAATCACAGGGAGTTATCAGAATAGTATTTATTGATATGCTCAGTGCTACCTTATTAATACTTCGTCACGTGGCGCGTGGCTGAGGTAATAGGGGTGGGGCCAGTGGGGCCTGGACTCCCATGGGAAGCAGTCCAGCCAGCAGCTGGGGACCCGGGAAGGGGATGTGGTTATTGCGTTGTATTCCTTCCCTCGCTTGCACCCTGGTGCCTATGCCTGCTCTTACCCACTGCTCACGTGGGTGCCACTCGCACACTCACACATACTCAGGCTCACTCACACCACGCCTGCCCTCTACTTGTTCATGAGTTTGCTTGTGTCTCGGAACTGTACAAACTCAAGCACTCAGGCAGGTGCTCATACCCACACCTGCTCACCTGCTCTCTTACACCCACCTCTGCTCTGGCACTCTCACACACACCATCCTTTGCTCTAGATGCACCCTAATTCTCCTGATGATAGATAGGCTCGTCAGTTACAGTAATCATAGTAAAATAAAGTGTGTGTCAGGCTAGGAGGAGAAAGTGCATGTTGATTTGGACCTGGGGCAGCCCTCGCTTCCCCCACCTGAAGGCATCAGGTCCCTCTGCAGGGGCCAGGCCCTTAAGTGAGTGACCCCTGGGGTCTGTCCTGAGGCCAGTGCCACCTTCCTCAGCATCCTCCTCACACACCCTAGGCTGGGCCCAAGTGGGTCTGCTGAGTTGTCTCAGCACACAACAAAACCCATGAAAAAAATAAACTCTCCCTCTTGTGGTCCAGCACGCAGGGGGTGCCTGATGCCGGATGGGCACCTATATCCCCACCTTGCGCTCTAGCCCCAGACTGCACCTGTGGATGCCATGGTGAGCCAGGTGGAAGGAGTGCTGGGCCCGTGGCATGCAGACAGGAGGCTGGGGGTGTAGGCAGTACTGGGTGAGCAGAGGTCAGGTCTACTCAAGGCTAGACTCAGCTGGGCCATCCCTGGCTCATGCAGAGAGTTTTTGGCGGCCTGGGAGGCGCTGCCCCTCAAAACTCCACAGTACTCACAACAGTTCTTGGCTCCTCAAAGGTGGCGATGAGGATCTGCTGGGGTGGGGGAATAGTGAGGAGGTCACCCATGTCTGAGGGTGCACAGGGCCCTCCTTCCTCCTCTTCCCGGGCCTCGTACAGTGTGCTGATGTGGAGCAGGGGGTGAGTGGCATTTCGGCTCAGGATGGTGAGGGGGTCAGTCTTGCCCAGACTGCCTGGTGACAGGGGGGCAGCAGCAGGAGCCGAGGGGGGTGAGCAGACGTGAAATGGGCCCCCAGATGGAAGTCCTGGTAGGGCAGGCTCTGTGGGGTATGGGATTTCCTTCTCAGGGGGCGGAGCATCTGCAAACAGGCAGGAACACAGCTGTTTCACCATCTAGCTCACTCATCCTACAGCCCTCCCAGTGTCACCCATGGGACCTGCTGGGCCCCTAGCTTCCATGGATGACAGACATCCCTGCACTCAGCAGCCCACCTGGATAAGTCTCACTACCCAGGAATAGCAGTGCTGTTTGCTGAACAGTCCCCTCCCCGCTGCAGTGGCTCATATCAGCCTGAAGCCCTTATTGACCAAAGGAGGTGTTCCCCTGGTGGCTGCAGGTCTACCTTTCTCATCATCTTCTGTCTTAAGGGAGCATCCAGATTCCAGTTAGGCCTGTACCTCATCTTAGGAGCAACCCAGCAGCTGGCCCTGCTGTGACCAAGCTAGCTACATTGTTCTCTGGTGTCTTCTGCCCTGTGCCCTAGACACAGGGACCAGGACAGCCCTGCTCAGGGCTCCCTGAGAATCTGCATCCTGTCCCATCCCCGACCTGCCTGGCTCCCTACCTTTGGTGGGTGCTGCAGCCAGGCCCAGCCCACATTCTTCTGTCTGGGACAGGAAGCCACCTTCTTGGCTCCGGGAGGCTGGAAGGGCAGGGGGAACTGCTTCAGTCTTGGCCTTCTTGGTACCTAGGATGTAGGGATGTACATCCAAGGAGAAGTGACGGGTATGCTTCTTGTCGGAGGCAGCAGGTGGGGCAGGGGAGGGGCCCGTATCACCTCCACTACCCTTGTAGTGGTGGGCAGCCCGGGCACCAGCATCCAGCAGCGGGGCAATAAGCGTGTCCGTGGCTGTTTTCCTGCGTACAGGCTTGGGCTTCTCGGCCTTGCTGTTTTCCACACGCATAATGGCCAGCTGTTCCTTGAAGGGCTGTGGCAGCGGGTTGCTGGTGGGGATCCACTTCATTTTCTTACGGGGCCGCTTGACCACGGGTGGCTCAGCAGAGCCATCAGGTTCTGCAGGGTTGATGCTGGGGTCTACAGTCTGGATGCCCGAGTCCCGCACAGTGGGCGTGGTGTCATGGTTAGACTGAGCCAAGGCTGCCAGCAGCTGCCGCACTACATTGTCATACATGAGGTCACTCTCGTTGGTAATGAAGTCCAGTCGATTGAGTGACTTGATGTGGTCACGGTTCTCATTGCAGAACATGGCCAGGATGTTGATGTCGCAGAACTGTGAGCGCCGCCACTGCCGGCGCGTCTTGATGCCCACCTTGTGTAGTTTGTCAAAGATGAAGTTGCTCTTGCGGAAGATGAAGAGGTGGATGAGGTTGACGAGGATGATGAGGTTCATAAAGCAGAGGAGCACGATGTCCACACCTGCGATGATCCGCTGCAGCTGCACAGATGGCAGCTTGCAGTTGACACGCACCGTGGGCCCAGCGCTACCCATTGGCCCATCAGGTGAGGCGCCCAGGGCACAGGTGAACTCATTTTGCTTCTGGGTGGCATAGTAGGTGCAGAGGTAGGAGATGGGCACTACACTGAGCAGCAGGATCAGCACATGCCGTGCCAGGTACAGCTTGGCCAAGAAGTTGCTGCGGCCCCGGCGCTCCAGGTATTTCTCAAACAAATTCTGCTCAGGGCTCTTCTCCTTCTCAGCATTCTCAATGATCTCTCGCTTTTCACGCTCTGTGATGCCTGGCCCCTTGGACTGGATCTGCTTCTCAATCTTGGGGGCACGGCCCTCGGCTGCTCGGTGGTAGCAGTTGTCAATCTCCTGAAGCAGGAAGTTGAGCTCAGAGGTGAGGCGCGTGGAGGCCAGGAACTCCCAGCCGAGTGCGGGCACATACATGATGGCGGCAAAGGCCAGCAGTGCGTAGGGCAGGAACTTGTGCTCAAACAGCGATGGCCACAGGCTGGCATCCACACCGGGCAGCGCATCCCGCAGCTCTGTCCAGCAGTAGCCACGGGCGTACAGCGCCTGGTCACGGGTGAAGTTGTGCGGAGTGTAACAGTAAATTGGTTCCTCTGAGGGTAGAGAGGAGACATGGGCTAGGGCAAGAGGTGGGACTGGTCTGAGGAAGACCAGGTCTTGGGATGAAGGGCATGGGATAGACCCGATCCCATCTCTGCTCAGACCCCTCCCCTGTGCAGGTGGCTGGGCTCTCTCTCATGTCCATGGAATCCAAAACCCCCTCCCATAGAGCTGCTTGCCTTATTTGGGGACTGCTGTTTCCAAATGGACCCACCCCTCAGGCCAGTTTTCCCTCACCATGTCCTGACTACAGTGTTGGGTATATAGTTCCCATCCTTACAAGTGGCTAAGACCTGTTTGTATAAGCTGAGGAACTGACCAGTACTGTTTATCTAGTCTAGAAAGGTCACAGAGACTGTATGTACAGGACAAATCAGGTCTAGAGAGGATCAAGACAGGCCATGCTGACAGCCAGGGTTCCTTTCACCATCCCACGTGGACCCATCACCAGTCCCTGACACTGGCTTTGCGCCGTCAGGACTGGTGGCCTAGATGTTCCAACTAACCCAGAGGCAGTCACAGAGGTCCAAATTCCATGGAAAAAAATTGCCTGTGACAGGTGAAAAGGGTCTCACAAGTTCCCCTGTCCAGGAGGAAGGGAAATGTAGGAACCTTGGATGCTAGTGGACACTGATAGTGAAGGCTTTCTGGCTGGACACATCTGCCACTGAAAATGAACAAAGGGCCTGTCTGCACTTGCTTAAGTGGGCACATGTCTTGAAGCAAAGGATGTTACATATGCTTGCACCAGGCCATGATCAGTCTTACACTTTTGATTTGTTTTCAAAAACTTGGAGGCTCAACGCCTACCAAATTAGGCCATGATCCCTAGGTACCAGACCGTGGTCACCTGTGGTATTAATCCAAGACAACTCCTCCTTAGCTATCTCTCACCCTCAAGACTGGCCCCAGGGCAGGTCAGCTAGAAGCCTCTAAGGGCTCCAGCTTAAAGCCCTTCACTGTGTTGAGATCAGGAACTCACAGGATCTAACTGACTAGTCTGTCTGTACCTAGCCTCTAGTTAATGTAGACAGGGAGATGGCAGAGACCCAGCCCGGCTGGAAGACTAATTTAAGAGTTTGAATATGGCCAGGTGGTGGAGGCACACGCCTTTAATCCCAGCACCTGGGAGGCAGAGGGAGGTGGATGGATCTCTGTAAGTCTGAGGTCAGCCTGATTTACACAGAGTATTCCTGGATAGCCAGAGCTCTTACACAGAGAAACCCTGTCTTGAACCCCTCCCCAAAGTTTGAATATGAAGCTTCCCATATAGGCTCATGTGTTTGAACACTTGTGCCCATCCAGTGTTTTGGTAGGTTTTGGCATCTTTGGGAGCTGGGGGCCTAGCTAGAAGCAAAAACTAGGGGAAGGCCACAGCAGTTATATGCACCTCAATGTGAATGAGCTATGCCAGGAGCTCTTGCCATGGATGGAGCCACCCTAGCCATATGTCTTCTCCCCATGTTGGAATGTATTCCCTGAAACTGTGAACCAGACCAAATCCTTCCTCCGTTAGGTCGCTTCTGCCACAGCAACTAGAAAAATAACCAATACAGATGTTAATCACAGTTTATGCTTTCAGGGGACCAAGAGGCAGGGGACAGAGACCCCACTGGCTATACATTCTTATAGTATCAACATTTAGGAGTCTTGGCCCCATTCTAACTTAGCCTAGGACCTTGGTCACATTTGGGGATATATCCATCTGTCTCATATCATGAAGACTCAAAGAAGTTTAGGGCTCAACAACTACCAGAACATAACCCAGTCAAGTTTGTACGCCAAAGGCAGGGCCGATGTGGCCACTGGTCTTCCTCATATGGTCCTGGGAAGGTATGGAGGGCTCCAGTAGAGGTGTGAGTGAACTACACAGTGAGCCTTGCTTAGATGGCCAGGTTACCGGGATTCCTTGAAGCTGGAGCCATGTCCACATGAGAGCTGGGCACCTGGCCATGGTCAGGGGCTGAAGAGGAGGCTATACAGTTAGGAAAAGCTGATCCCTTTAACCTGAGGTCCTGGAGGACAGGTGTCCAGGCTGGATGAGCTGGGCTCTGAGAAGAGCAAACAGGGAAAGCAAAGGAATCAGCTCTCTTGGTTAAAAAAATGGAATTTTATTCATATATATATACACATATATATGTATATATGTATATATGTATATATATATTCCTTACAGCTGATCCCTAAAGCCACAGAAGGGTGCATAGTTTTCTCTCTGGGAATTTGTCTCCCGTCCTGTATCAAGCCCATCCCTACAGCCAGCTGAGCTGCAAGCTGGGCAAGCAAGGGGAGAGACCTCCATATTCCCAAGGGCACATCCAGTGGGGCCAACCTCCTCCTCCGTTGGCCTGTGTCTGCAGAGGCACATGGTGCTTCTGATAGCAAGGCTGACAACAAAGACCTACAGGAATGCAGGTGCTCAAGCAGGGCTTGCTACCAAAGGGTAGTGATGCTGTGGACTTGTCCTGCTGGGCCTGAACTGGGCAGGACGGCAGGTACCCAGACACTGGATGCTCTGTCCAGATACAGTAGCTGCATGGAGTTCTCTGTCTGAGGCCCCTTTTGTGGGATTTCCTAGGGGTGATGAGGTCTTGCCTGCACCTGTAAGCGCAGGTACTCAAGGAGGAGACACAAAAGCTGGTCCATTTCAATGCAGACAGGACTATCTCTGCAGAGTGCTGTTGAAGGGTCCTTTCCCAGAGGTGGGAATGTGTATACCTGGGCTGCTGGACACCCTGCTGCTCATGGGAGTGCACTGAGAGTCTTAGCCAAGGAAACTACTTGTCAGTCAAGCACTAGCTAAGACTGCCTACCCCATCACAGTGGCATGGAGTCAACAGCAGTAACCACAGAGCATTAAATGCTTGTTGTAGCCTCCAAAAGAGCTGGTCTAAATAGTGTAAGCACAGACCTTTAGGGTTTTTATTTGGAATTCTGTGCAGGGCTGGGGTGAACTTGAGCCCTCGACACATATCCAGCCTAATCCTTGGGTCCAGCCTGCACACAGCCCAGCTCACTTATGCCTCGGTCACTTGTTGAAGGGAAACTTTTCAAGGGATCCCTGGTTTGTCCAGGCCGTTGCCTCTGGCCAGCTCACAGCTACCACTGCCCTCTCAGCTCCCCCAACCCCAGGGCAGGTTCAAATCCTTCCCAAACTCCTTCGTAGTGGAATGATAGCTCCCAAGATGACCACATTCTGATTTCTGGACCTGCGACTGTGTTGCTTTGTGTAGTAAAAGTGACTCTGCAGCAAGGATAAAGGACTTTATAGGACATGATCCAGAATTGCCTGAGTGGGACAATGCAATCACAAGGGTCCCTTTCAAGGTAGGCAGTGGTAGACAGAGAGGGCCTGGGCCAAATGACATGATGCAGCTAGGTCCTGGAGGTAGGAGTAGACTTGCCACTGGAAGCTCTAGAAGGACTGCCCTGCCTACAATTTATCCATATTGTAATACTCACTTAGGATTTCTGCGGAGATGTAGGATAACTGCTTTTCTTAATTTTTAAACTTGTGTGTGCGCATGTGCGCGCGCGCTTGCACACGCACTCACGCATTTATGTGTATGTAGGTAGGTGTTATGTGTACTGTGGCATGTGTAAGATCAGGGGACAACTTGTGGGTACTGGTTCTCTCCTTCTACCCTATGGATTCTAGGGATCAAACTCAAGTTGTTAGGCTTGGGGACAAGAATCTTTATTTGCTAAGCTGTCTCACTAGCCTTGTTTGTTTGCCTTTTGGTGTGTATCAGGTGCTGGGAATCAACCTAGGACCTCCAGTATGCTAAGCAAGTGCTCTGCTGCTAAGCCACACCCTTGTCTTGTACATTGTTTGAAGCCACTGAATTTGTGCTCATCTGTTCCAGCAGTGTGGGCAGATAACAGGTGGCCCTGGCTTCTTGCGGGCTGGCTGCCTCGTGTGTATGTATGTGTGTGTGGTGCTCTGGTACTTCCTGTAGTGGTATGAGTGGATACTCCTGAGTGCTGCAGGCCTTACAGAGGTGAGACCCATACCTGGGACAGAAAGGGCTGACTTTCAGGGGTTGTTGTCTGAGTGCCCGCACCTCTCACAGGCCCACTATGAGATCCCCCCTGCAGGGTGGGATGCCCAGGGAAAGGCCAGAAGCCAGGTGCAGGACTGCCTATGCTTACCAGCACAGGGCACTTTCAATTTTCCTTCTTTAAGGAAGAAAGGATGGGACACATACTGGATGACATCCCACTTCTGTGAGCTGGATGGTACACTCAGGTGATATCCACCAAGTACCCCCAAGTACCTGGGATGTGACTGACTATTTTAGCAAGAAGTTGTTGCTGACTTCTCAGTCTGGGTCTGAGCAATCTGGTGGCTCTTTGCCTCTCTTCCTGGCCCTCACTCCTGGGCTTTGTGTACTGGCTTCCCACGCCTGCCTGACAGGCATGGGGAGCTATTTCACAGTAGCCCTGGCCCCATCACCAGCTGGTCTCCAGACAGGAGTCCTCTGAGATGTTCCCAGGCTCCCCCTACACCCTGAGCTCTACCTCTACCTCTACTGGGTGGAGATCAGCAGCACTGAGCTCAAGGGAATTCACTTTAGCATAGCAGAACACACTATAAGGAGGTCAGGCTCCTTCTGAGAGGGTATGCACACAGCACCATCCATTGACATTCAGGATTGAATGCCCCTGTAGGCAGAACCTGAGTGTATGAAATAAATAAATAAATAAATAAATAAACAAAGGACCGTTGGCCACACAGTACTAGCAGTGGGGTGGCTGGCTTAAAACAGCAGACACATACCTCACATATCTGAAAGCCAGAAGTCCAAAACCCTTCAGGCAGGCCCCACTCAGAGCCCTGGCACAGGGTTCTGAGTATGCACCTGTCTTATCTTCTCCTATGTTCTCACCGAGTGGTTCCCATATACTGACGGGTCTCGGGAGAAGGAACCACTAAGACACCCTTTCCCCACACCCAATTCTCTTGTGTCTGAGGTCCCTGGGAGCTTCTAGCTTCTGTGGGGGCAAAAGGATGGTGAAAAGCCCCAAGAAGCCACTGTGCTGTTCTGAACATCAATCAAAGCCAAGGGAAATAGTCAATGCTTCAAAACCGTGCAGGAGGTCAGGGAGTGCAAAGCGTAGGCTGAGGATGGTTGTTCACTTTCTCTATCCTCCCAGGGAAAGAACAGGCTTACTGGCCAAGCATAGCTGTTTGTCCATGCTACGGAGGCACTAGGACCCCTCCTCATATTTGTGGTAGGACTAGCTTAGCAGGGGTAGATCGGCTCAGATATGTGGGCCTCAGGTGGACACTTCCATTTCTGCGGGAAAGCACAAGGGGTTTGAAGGAACAGGTCCAAGATCAGGGTTGACTTTGGGGTTATCTTGGCCGTTCCAAGCCCAGCTGGATACAGGGTGTTCGGAGGCCTCACAGGTGACAAGCTGGGCTGGCAGTGTCTGAGTATAGGGCTCACTTCAAGGGAACACAAAACGACCCAGTCCATGTGTATAACCACATCTGAGGTTGCCCTACTATGTGTGTCATAGATAGAGCTGTGTTCTCCCAAGTCCTAGCCCTGTACGTGTGGACTGACAGAAACAGTCTCTGTAGGTGTAAATGAGATGAGAGTGGAGTAGAGTAACCCCAACCCTACTGTATCCTTGTGACTCAAGGGAGGGACACAGACATGGGGAAATCCCCAAGAGAGGACAGACACAGAGCTTGGGTGATGCCGATACAGGTCACAGAATACCAGAAGAAGAAAGGGCTCTTGTCATTCTCTAGGGCATTCAGAGAGAACTCAGTCCTCCCCATACCTGGATTTTGGGCTTCTAGCCCCCAGAACCCTGAAGTATATGTCTGTTGTTGTAAGCCAGCCACCCCATGGCTGAAACTGTGACCAGTATGGCCAAAGGCCGCTGTATGCACACACCTGGGACATCTAATCCCAAGTGTTAGAACCTTTGGTGTGCAAGGATGGAGACCAGGAGAACTTCCTCCACCCTTGGGGAAGTGTTAAGCAGTCTGAAGAATGCCTCCTCTCAGGTTGGACATCTCTAGGTCCTGGAGTTTCCTGAAAGGTGGCCTGTGGAGGATGGTGAAGAAGTGGTATCAAAATACCTGTTCTTGTTGCCCAGGAGCTGCAGAGGGTAGAGCAACCTGCACCTCCAGAGCAACTCTGGAACCCTGAAAGTCTTCTTCTTGCTACGAAACTGGCATCTCTGGGTCAGAAATTAGACCTGTGTATGTGGATACCTAGGCCTGAGTCTCAGCTCAGCTCAGGTGGGAGATGCTATTTGCTGTCTCTGTGTGTCACCAGAAGGCAGCTCCCTGGTGCTGCTCTGTGCTGGTCATGTCGCCTTAGGCAGGGCTCACCACACTTTGTGTGCACCTTCCTGAGTGTGACCACGGGTGAATCCACATACTCCCTCTTACACCTTCAGCCTCTCTGCCTATTCATTCCTCCCTGACCAGCCCCATCTGCTACCTACACTGCCTTTGCCAGCCAAGGGTGGGCTCTTGGGCCATCATTGCTCCATGCCCTCCAAAGCCAGCCATGTCTGGCCAATTCTGCAGAAAACCATTGGAGCGGGGGGGGGGGTACTTCAGAGCTCCTCAGAAGTACCCTCACTTTCTTATACTGTGAGCCCCATGAATCCCGTGAAGCATCATGGGATTTTCACTATTCCCTGGGCAGTGGCTCTCAACACTTATAACATCCTTCTCTGGTCCTCATTGGCTACTCCTCCAAGCCTTAGTCCACAGTGACATTTTACAACTCAGACCCCAGGTCCCATTGACAGGCCTACTCTCCTCATGGCTTGAGGCTGAAGGAATGGAAAGGCAAACAACAATAAAACAGAGGAGGGCTCTCCAGGAGGCCCTGCCTTGTTTCAACCCCTCATGCCAGACTGAGGCGCTGCCCAAGGTCTGTGAGGGGACCTGAGGGCAATGCCTCACCGCCTGGCCAGGTGGGTGCGGTCCAGCTGGAGCTAGCTGCCTGGCGCTGCGAGCCAGCGCGCTCAGAGCGCTAGGCGCTAAACACCTGCGGACGC